ACAAGAGCCCGAGGCTGGGCCCGGGGTGAGCAGGGCCTGAGCACATCCCTCTCCCCAGGAGGAAACTCACAACACACAACTGACCTCCCTGGTGATGAGCTGGACAGGAGGTGACGGGCCCCGGCTGCAGCTGCAGAGAGGCGTGCGCCTCATGGGGGGCCCTCCTGGGAAGGGGCTCCCGCGGCAGCTCCCACTTCTCTCCAGGTCCCTCTGCCCTGAGAGGTCACGTGCTTATCCCGGCGAATTACTGGGATTAACAGCTCACCGCCCCCCGCCCCCCAGCAGGGAGCCTGCCCTCAGAGCGGCTCCACACAGGCTCCAGTCACCTGGGCACGCCCCCCAGACTGCATGGTTACACCCTGTGCTGTCAGCGGGTCCTCTGGCCTTGCTCTTGTCATTTCTTATTCAAATGTTCAGAACCTTGGACAGAGAAGAGCCAGGCAGGGGCCCTTCTAGCCCTGATGCGGGCACTGTCTGGGAAGAGGGAGTGAAGGGAAGACCTGCAGGACCACGGGGAGTGCCCATGGCCTTGGACGTCAGTGCCTGACGGTGCGGTGACTTTCAGACGCGGGCGGGCCTGCCCTGGGATCACTTTCAAATGCTCTGCCCTACCCCACCGGCGACTGGAACTTGCTGAGTATCCACCACACACTGGACCCTAATCTCGGCACCTGCTCCCCCTGCAGCAGCCCGGCGGGCACTGCTGGAGCTGGGGGATCTCACAGGAAGTGTATAACACCCGGTGCCACCGCGGGTGAGGGCAGAACTGCGCGAGGACCTGCTGACCGCTGTCCAGGGCGGCTGCCCCCCACTTCCACGGAGCACGGCCTTCCCGCCCCTCCCTGGTCACACCGGCCTGGGCGGGGCTCCCTGCCTGACCCTCATCCCGCTGCGTTCCCCAGGGGCCTGCACTGGGCCTCTGTCACCAGTCACGGAGACGTCTGGGCCTCCGCTTTCACTTCCGAATCCAGGCCAGCAGGGAGAGGCTTTGAACTGGGGAGCCTCTCAGAACCCAACACCGAGGCGAGAGAGGGGCTTCTGAGGGGGACGCCCGCTCTGCTGCGCATGAGCCATGGCCTTGGACAGGCGTCCTGTCGCCCTGGA